GGATCAAACCTCTTCGGGGAGTCAGGGAGCTGCTGCCGTTTGCCTCCGTCCCTCACGCTGGTCAGGTTTTCAGACAGGATGAGGTTGGGATGTGCTGTTTCAGGGTCCAGAGTCAGAGAGACTGCGCAGAGAGAGAGAGAGGTCAACACTGAGCACTGCGGCGGGTTGTTGTGAACGCTGTGGGTCCTGTTAATCAGACTCGTATCTGCACTGAGGAGAAGTCTTTTTATCTCTGAACAGAAGAAGGAGGGATGGCCAGGTCTCTGATTACTGGCAGAAGCTTCCCCGTGTTTCACTGTAGAACAAGTGTGGAAAGCCTCTGTGCTCACACTGACTGCAAACTGTCCATGATTCTCAGGCTAGTGATAACTGGCCATGATTCGTCCAAATCCCAGGACACCAGCCCACAAGCTAATCGTTGAGATGTCAGTATTAAATTAGGTAGAGTTTCTGTGCAAATTGTAGTGAGGTGTAGGAACAAGAGGGCCAGGATAATGCATTTGGATCAAGGTGGTTTGTGTGGCAGCGCGGCAGCTGTTGGCTGAGTGGCAGCTCTTAGTGCAATGTGTCCAGGGAACAAGAGGGGAGAGCAATACAAGTTAATAATTATTTCTTTTGTAATGGTCTTTTTCGGTCTCGTAGCACTGTTACAAGTTGTTTAATGACTTACTGGAAACAAGGTGTGGTCAGGTATATTGCCAGTTTTGTCAGTGGTTCTCAGCTACTCCTGATTTATGTGTATCAGCAATGGGGGCAGCTCTTCTGTGGAACTGCCTGGTTTATGCCAAACATGTCGCCATTTCTGTCAGTTCAGCTCCAAACAGAACCCTCTTACCTCCCACCCTCAGTCGGCAAAGGCACATTCAAAGACAAGTTGCTTGTGACAGTCTCGAGGATGGGAGGAATGTGAAGGGATTAAAGATAAGAATACAGGAGCTGGAAGCCAATTGGCTGGAAGGTCTCCACTAACTATGGAGAGAATGGGGACGTAGAGTTAGAGTGAGAGCGCGTCTTACATTTTGCAGACACACGTCAAGGCTGAGTTTGCTAAAATGCACCAGAGCCTGACGGACAGAGAGCAGCGAGTAATGCGTGATCTCAGACAGCGATAGAAGGAGATTTTACACCGAATGAAAACCTATCTGTCAGAAATTCTTGTTTTGGTAAAAAAAAACCTGAGTGATGGTAAAACTACTGGCATTTAATAATAATAATAATAATAATCCTTGCATTTGATATAGCGCTTTTCACGTCAGGAGGACGTCCCAAAGTGCTTCACAGAATATACTGTAAAGTGAATTGACTGTATATTTGTGGGTGAACGCGGCAGCCAATGTCACAGCAATGTCCCACTAACAGTCATGGATTGAAGTGACCCAATTATTATTGTTTTTTTTCTTGAGGGATTATTATTACGCTCTGTGTGGAGTAAGGAAACTTGCCTAAGATTTGGCCCTGACCCCCCGGGGATTAAACTCAGGTCTGTCACTTGCAAAGCGAGTGCTCTAACCACTGAGCTACAGGACTCCATATTTAGTAATATTTCAACAGGATATTTTTTTTAAGCTGAATTTCACGGTCCAATTGATGACACGTTTGTCCTCATCAATTGTTTCAGTGCCAGTCTGTGTAATATAATATATAATAATCCTGGCATTCAAATAATAATTTGAATAATAATAATAATTTGAACAACTGGAATAGAAGCGGGCTACACGAGCGCAGTGAGGGGAGGGGGAGAGAGGGGATGGCGGTCATGGCTGAGGTGCCAGAGAGAGGGACAAGAGGGAGGACAAGACAGCAGAGGGATAATGGCGGGGATTTGCCACACCCGGGCGGGTTTCAAAATGGTGCCCGGAAGTGACGACCGACAGCGCGAGGCCTGACAGTTTTTGAAGCATTTTGAAATAGCGTTGCGGGGCCTGAGGCCTCATTTGTCGCCCGATGACCAGGTGGAGACTTGACAATAGTTTGTCCCGCGGTGCATGTCCACGGCCTCCTGCGGCCGACTTTTGTCACCGAAATCCGCAGTTTACCTGGTTTTCGCCGTCTGGTGACTGAGCCCCAACGTCAGTCACATGACGTCACTGCCTGACTCCCATCGCCTTTACCGAGATGTGCACCGCCAGACTCCCTGTGATACACACCTGACACGACTGACCGATTCCCTTTGCCTTTATCATAGAATCATAGAATGTTACGGCACAGAAGGCCATTCAGCCCATCGAGTCTGTGCGGCTCTTTGACAGAGCAACTGACTTTCACTGACCCCAATCACCAGCTTTCTCCCCATAACCCCACAAACCCGTCTTCCCTGATACCTGTCCAGTTCTCTCTTGAAAGCTGTTATCGAATTGGACTTCACTGCCCTTTCGGTCCGATCATTCCAAATTCTAACAACTTGCTGAGTGAAAACATGTCTTCTAACCTCTCCTCTGCTTCCTTTGGTGGATATCTTCAGACTGTGACCACGAGTCAGAAACACCTACGAGCGGAACAGCTTTTCCCTATCTCGCCTGTCGAAACCTTTCATGATCTTGAAGACCTCTATCAGGTCCCCACGTAACCTTCTCTGCTCTAATGGGAAAAGTCCTAACTTTTCCATCCTGTCCTCATAGCTAAGTTCCCCATTCCTGGTATCATTCTCGTGAATCTCCTCTGCACCCTTTCTAGTGCCTTAATATCCTTCCTGAGGTAATGTGCCCAGAACTGGATGCAGTACTGCAGCTGAGGCCTAACCAGTGTTTTGTACAGATTAACCATAACCCCTACTCTTATACTCTATGCCCTACTAATGAAGCTCAGTACACCAAATGCCCTTTTTACTGCCCTATCTTCCTGCTCTGCCACCTTCAATGAATTGCTTACTTGAACGCCAGATCTCTCTGTCGTTCACCCCCCTTAAGATTGAGCTACAAGCCTATATTGCCTCCTATCATTTTTCCTCCCTAAGTGTATCACCTCACACTTATCTACATTGAAATCCATCTGCCACATGTCAGCCCATTCCACCATTCTGTGTATTTCCCTGCAGTCCGTCACAATCTTCTTCATTATTTACTACCCGACCTAACTTGGTATCATCTGCAAACTTGGAAATAGTGCTCCCTGTGCCCAAGTCCAGATCATTAATATATATTAGAAAGAGCAGTGGTCCCAATACCGATCCCTGGGGGACACCGCTGCACACCTCCTTTCATTGCAAGAAACACCCATTAACCACCACCCTCTGCATTCTGTCACTCAGACAGTTCCTAATCCAAACGGCTACTGTCCCCTTAATACCGTGAACCTCCAGTTTTTTATTAACCTCTTATGCGGTACTGTGTCAAAAGCCTTTTTCAAATACATGTAAATAATGTCACCGCATTTCCCTCATCCACACTCGCAGTCACCTCTTCAAAAAATTCTATTAGATTTGTTAGGCAAGATTTACCTTTAACAAATCCATGTTGGGGGTCTCTAATTACCTCGTGTTCCTCTAATTAGAGATTTATTCTGTCCCGGATTACGGTCTCCAGTAGCTTTTCTATTGCCGAAGTTAGGCTGACTGGCCTGTAACTTCCGGGCTTGTCTTTCTGCCCCTTTTTGTAGAGTGGGGTAACATTAGCCACTCTCCAGTCTCTTGGCACCACTCCTGTGTCCAATGACGATTGAAATATAATGGCCAAAGCCTCCGCTATTTGAACCACAGCAACTTTGGGTGAAACCCATCTGGTCCTGGTGACTTATCAATTTTGAGCCCAGTCAATATTTTCAGAACTTCTTCTCTGTCTATAGTAATCTGATCTATGTCCTCTACCCTCTCATCCAATACTGTGGCATTTGGGGTATCCGTTGTGAAGACAGATGCAAAGTACTCATTCAGTACATCAGCCACGGCCTCTGCCTCCAAACAAGATGCCGTCATTGTCTTTGATTGGCCCCACCCTACCGTTAACTAACCTTTTTTCCTTTATGTGCTTATAAAATATTTTAGATTTTCCCTTTATGTTACCCGCTAACCTCTTCTCATGCGATCTTTTAGCCTGTCTTCTCGTTCTTTTAACATCAACGTGATGGCAGCCACCAGAACCTCTAGGTCACACACTGACTGACTCATATCACTTTTAACAAGATGGACACCACAACTTGACCCCCCCTCCGTCCACCCCCCGATCGCCCCCTTTAGTGAAGTGGCTGCGAATGCCCACCACTAACACGCAGAGATACACACTCCTTTACTGTCTCTCTCTCACACTCACTGTGTCTGTCTTCAATGGAAAGAGAGAGAGTTTGAGAGAGAGAGTGAGAAAGGGAGAGAGAGAGAAAGGGTGTAAGAGAGAGTGAGAGAGGGAGCGAGAGACAATGCATGACCTTGTGTAAAGCCCTTTCATGCCGGGAGGATGTCCCAGGTGGCTCGACAGACAGTCATTCTGAGCTTGTTCGCAGTGGAATTGTTCAAATTTATTCTCTTCGGCCTTTAACACCGCACGGTGGCTGACGGCGGTTTGAAAGCCCCAGGAAAATAAACTCAAAAATTTCTTACTTTTTCATTAATAAACAAACAAACTGCATTTATTTATCTTCCTTCACGGAGAATCACGATTCAGAGCTTCTCCTCAGTATTGTGTTTTAATTGACAAATCCATTTTTGTTCATTTTCATATGTTCCATTCAATGTAAGCAGCTCCCATTGAATCCCATTAATTACGTTGCTAAGCCCTGGGTCGGGTTTTCACCATCTAATGCAAAAGAGCGGCCAGACACAGTCATCAATTCCCTGATTCTCCATCTTTTCTGGTAGCTGTTGTGTAATAAGGAATATAGTTATTTTCTGTGATTTACTCTGTGCTCAAATTAAAAACAAAAACCTGCGGTATATACTGCCATAAGAGTATTGTGCTTCTCTCTGTAATTGTCCGCAATGTTCTAAGTAGTAATAATCATTGCACTCGATATTGGAGTAGAGGAGGAAAGGTAGAGTTGGGTGTCATCCGCATACATTGGAAGTTAACTCCATGTCTGCGGATGATGTCACCAAGGTGGAGCATGTTGAGGGTGAAAGGGGGGACCGAGGAAGAGCCCTGAGGACACCACATGAGACAGTGCGGGGGGTGGAGGAGAAGCCATTTGTCGAGACAAAGTGAAGACGGTGAGAAAGGTACGACCTAAACCACTCAAGGACAGTGGAGTAGGATAGCGTGGTCGACCGTATCGAATGCTGCCGATAGGTCGAGGAGGACGAGGAGGCAGAGGGAGCCCTGGTCACAGATGGTCAGGATGTCATTGGTGACCTTGACCAGGGCAGTTTCTGTGCTATGGGCAGCAGGAAACCTGACTGAAGGGGTTCGAAAAGTGAATGGATGGAAAGAAAGAGTGCAGTTGGGAGGCGACAACTCCAGGACCTTGGAGAGAAAGGGGAGGTTGGAGATGGGCCGGTAACTTGATAGCTGCGACGCATCAAGGGAGGGTTTTTTCGGCAGTGGGCGTGATGGTGGCAGTTTTTAAGGGAATGGGGACAGAGCCAGAGGAGAGGGACAGGTTGACGATGTCGGTAATGTGTGGGGCAAGAAATGGAGCTGGGAGATAAGGAGTGGAGTGGGGATGGGGTCAAGGGAGCAGCTGGTTGGTTTCAGGGATAGGATGAGTTTGGTGACAGAGGGTGGGGAAACGTGAGTAGGGGAGGATGGGTAGCAGTCGGAGTGTGGGAGTGAGGGGGTGGGGGGTTGGTGGATGTTGGAGGGGAAGTGACCGCGGAGCGAATTCCCTTGATCTTGGATTCAAGGAAATCCAGCATCTCCTCACAGTGAAGGTTGGAGGAGATGACCTGGCGGGGTGCGGGGGGGAACGGAGAGTCGGGTTGTGGTGGAAAACAGTAGCCTGGGGTTGTTCTTCGCCTCCAGGATTATCCTGGAGTAGAAGGACGACTTGGCCGAGGCTAGAGTGGAGCGGTAAATTTTGAGAGATCCAGCCAGATTTGTCGGTGGACCGTTAGGCCAGATTTGACAAGGTGCGTTCAGCAGCCCGCACCTGGCTTTTCAGTGAGCGGAGGTGGGTTGTACCAGGGGGAGGAGCGGGAGTAGGAGACAGTGCGGGAAGTGATGGGGCAAGGTATCGAGTGTGGAGGAGAGGGTATTGTGGAGGAGGGAGAGAGGAGAAGAGGGGTCGGTGAGGGTTGAAGGCCAGAGGGAGAGAAGTTCAGAGGACTCCAAGGCATCGGTTAGGGATTGTGGGGGTAACTTCTTCCAAGGGCGGCAGAAGATGGTGGTGGGTCTGGTGGAGGTGGGGAGGGGGTGGAGGTGGTGAAGGAGATGAAGTAGTGGTCAGAGATGGCCTTGTCGGTAATAGTGACATCCGAGACACTGAGGCCCCGGTGATCACCAAATCGAGTGGGTGGCCGTGACTGTGAGTGGGGGAGTTTATGTGTAAGGAGAGGTTGAGTGAGGAGAGCAGGGAAGAGAAGTCTGTGGAGATGGAGCAGGAGGGGGTGAAGTGTAGGTTAAAGTCGCCCAGGATGATGAGGCGATCAGAGCAGAGGCAAAGAGATGTGAGGAGTGTTGAAATGTCAGAGATGAAGGTGGGAGAGGTTTTAGGGGGCCGGTAGAGGAGGAGGATTTTAAGGGAGAGGAATGAGGGGTGGGAGAGGGTGAGGTGCTCAAAGGAGGGGAAAGAGCCAGAGGAGTAGGGGGATAGGGCAAGTGGTGTCCTTGAGATAAGGGCAACACCACCGCCACGGCGGTTGGGGGGGGGATGTGGTGGGAGGTGTAGCCGGGTGGGTGGCCTCCGTGAGGGGGAAGGTGTCGCCTGGGGTGAGCCAGGTTTCTGTCAAGGCCATGTCAACGTTCTCATCAAGGATGAGATCGTTGATGACCAGGGCCTTGTTGCAGAGGGAGCGGACATTTTGCAGTCCGATGTGGAGGGAGCGGTTGACAGAAGGGTGTGTGGGAGGGGAGGGGGGGTCCAGGTTGTGAGGCAGGGGTGGGGGGGAATGGGGATGAGGGAGGAGAGGTTGACTCCCCGGGTCTGTGTCCGGGGGGGGTGGCGAGTGTGGTGGGGAATGGGGCAGTCGGTGTGGCTGCTGCTGGACAGCCAACGCCGAGTGCCACGGTGAGCCCGGCGGAGGATTCCCAGGCTGGACAGAGGGAGGTTGTGGGAGGGTCAAGTGGGGATAGAAGACGAGAGGGACGGAGAGAGAGGAGGAGAGAGCGGGAGAGATGCAGAGGGGGAGGGTTTGGGGGGAGAGAGGAGGGGGAGGAGGGAGGGGGTGAGGGGGCTCGGGTCAAAGCGGCAGCCATAGTGCGCACGCGGGGACCGGGAGCGAGCGGTCAGGTGGATGGCATTATCCCGTAGATTGGGGCAGCGAACCCAACAGGACCATAGTGGGCTCTGATGTGAGCCCTGCGGGGGGGGGGGGCAGAGGTTTTTTTTTGTTGCGCGCACGCACCTGAAATCTAATCTATGACGTCAGCAGTTCCCCCGCACCGCCCCCCACCCACACCGCCCCCCCCACACCGTCCCCCCCCCCCCACACTGTCCCCCCCACACCGCCCACACCCCCCCCCCACCTCCCCCCCCCCACACCTCCCCCCCCACACCTCCCCCCCCCCCCCCCCCCCACACCGCCCCCCCCACACCGCCCCCCCACCCCCCCCCCCCCCCCCCACACCTCCCCCCCCACACCTCCCCCCCCACACCCCCCCCCCACACCGCCCCCCCCCCCACACCTCCCCCCCCTCACACCTCCCCCCCACACCTCCCCCCCCACACCTCCCACCGAGCTGATCTCGCTCTGGCGTCGAGTTTAAATACCTGGGTCACTAGGCCCAGGCTCCTCCCCGCGCTGTCCTGCCGCCGCTCCCCGACCTATTCTAGAAAGGGTGAGTGTGTGGTGTGGGGGTGGGTGGGGATTGTTTGGATTTATGAATAATGCAGTGAAAGCTAACATATTTTACAATTTTCAGGGGCAAATGGAATTAAGCGACAAGTCTTTAAAATCTCATAACATGCCCTTGGTTCATAATTACGTAAGAAATAGGAGCAGGAGGTGGCCATTCGGCTGACCTTTAATCCTGAGCCTATGGCCCCTAGTTTTATAGTCTCCAACCAGGGGAAAATCTCTCACGCTATCTACCCTGTCAAGACCCTTAAGAAACTTATAGGGTTCTATAACATCACCTCTAATTCTTCTATATTCCAGAGAAAGTAGGCCCAGTTTACTCAAACATTCCTCTTCCTAGGAACCAACCTAGTGAACCTGCGTGGCAACCAATCCACATCTAAGCAACTGTTTATTGATAATGTCTCTGTGAGAATGCTAACGTTATCCATTGTTTGTTATTAAGTAGAGAGATTTACTGTGAGCGGCCCCCCTCACCCAGTCACAGCCACTGCTGTGGTGCTGGACTGTAAGTGCTCCATATCTCTGCTGCCAGAGGGTGTGGTGATCAGGTGGTTCAGGACCAGGTTCGACTCCCCTGTGTACGTCTACAGAGGAGGGCGACGTCGGGTAGAAGAAGAGGATGAGGCCTACAGACACAGAGCACAGCTGTCTATAGAGCGTTTGAAGGAGGGAGATGTATCTCTCAGACTGGCAGATGTGCGGGGGACAGATAACGGAACCTACACGTGTTTTGTTGACTACGCCGGATCACATGAACAGACAAAGATCCAATTACAGGTTCAAGGTCAGTCGTGTTCACCTCGTGTTAGCACGCGCAACAGCTGTGTGTCAGCCGATCTGGTTTGGTAATGTTCGGGGTGGATAGTGAATCTCCTCTGCGCTGTTGGAGGAGGGAAGGGAGTTTAGCCCAGTTTCCGGTCCCACAATCCACCCAATAGCATTGGTTAGTCATTTCCTGGCTGTTTGTGTGATATTATTGTATGTTATTGTCGTGTTAGCTTCAGCCTTCAAACACAGTCACTCCACTACGCGATACTATCCACGATTGTTTGTGGACACTGCTGTGCATATATTGCCCTCAAGATACAGTCAATTCACTTTACAATGTATCATGTAAAATGCTTTGAAACGTGTGGAAGATGTGATAAGGCGCTGTATCAGATGCGAAGATTATTTTGTGTGAGTTATTCTGTGTAACAAATTACAATCAAGGCAACAATCTATATGAATGAACTTTTGTCAGGCTATTGCTAGTATTTGTCCAAACCAGTTACTGGGCAAGGTCTGTGTAAAGCTATTATTTGCTGTATATTTAATTGACATTGTCCTGCCTCCTCCCAGCCCTTGGCAGTCAGCCGTGGGTTCGCATTGAAGAGCAGCCCTATGATGGTTTGAAGCTGCTGTGTGAATCCAGTGGGTGGTTCCCAGCACCAGATGTTCTGTGGACTGATCATCAGAGACAAAACTTAACAACAGTCATCAACACTACGGTAAGACAGGATTTTAAAGGTTTCTTTACCGTTGAAAGTCAAATAGAAATCAAGCCGTCGAACGACAAGATCAGGTGTGTGATTCACACCGCGGATCATCAACAAGAAGCAAAACTGCAAATCTCAGGTCAGTAAATAGTAAATAGTCAGAGATATAACTGACAGCCTGAGGGGTGTGTGTGACAGAGATGATAAAGGTATCAGTGCTAACCTGAGAGATGTGTGTGTGTGAGAGAGAGACAACAGTGATAGCCTGAGACAGAGAGAGAGAGAGATCAGTGATAGCCTGAGAGATGTGTGTGAGACAGAGAGAGAGAGAGATCAGTCATAGCCTGAGAGATGTGTGCGTGAGAGTTATCAGTATTATTCTGTGGGATGTGTGTGTGTGAAAGAGAGATACTAGGGATAGGTTGAGAGATCCGGGTTTGTGAGAGAGAGAGATAATAGTAACAGCCAAAGAGATGTGGCTGCTTTTTGAAATATAAAATAAATACAAAATTAGTTCAGACGAAGAAAAAGCTTCATTCAGCCGTTTGATCTCATTCTCTCAAAAAAGCCACTTGGGGTAATAATCCCTCTAACAATATTAATAATAATAATTTGGTCACTCCATCCACAACTGTTTGTGGAACACTGCTGTGCAGAATTGACTGCTGTGTTTTGCCCACAATACATAGTCACTACACTTTACAGTATTTGCTGTGAAGCACTTTCAAACGTCTGAACAATGTGATAAGAAGCTATAGGAAATGTAAGATTATGAAATGAATTGGATATTTTGAATGATTGAGGTGAATGTATAATAAGGTTCATTGTGGCCTTAGTTTCACACTGAGGTAAATTCAGACAATTAACATTGGGTGGTTTATACTGTGTTTCTGATCCTGAGATTATAATGTCATGTATTTCTCAATCCATTCAGTGAGATACTGTGAAATAAATTGATGTGATAGTGAGATGAATTGTTGCCATTTGAGTAGACATTGAAAGTGAGACTGTCGCAGGCTTCTCTTCTCTGCTTTACGTCAAACCAGGGTAAACCGAGGCAGTTGCTGTTGGATATTAGAATAGATCTTTACACGTCTAATTACATTTCCTGACAGACCAATTCTTTCCCAAAGTGCCAGTGGGTTTGGTGGTTGCTGCACTGCTCCTGGGACTTGCCACACTTGTGCTGACTGTTCTTATCGACTACAGTGCAAAACAGCAACGAGAGATCACAGGTAAGTTCCCATCAATACCAGCTCTAAGCACAAGTCACACAACACTGTATGATTTCATGTAAATACATAAGTTTTGTAAACTTAGCGACAGAATAGACGATAAACATTTCTGGGAATGTGTGGGTCAGAGGTTGATCTAATAAGACAGTCATTTTAATTATATTCCTAGTCTGTGGAGAGAGATGAGGGATTAGATATTGGCAGTAACATGGGGGTGTTTGTGTACATCGGCAGTTTGTGTAACAACCCTTTCCACACAAACAACAATAATAATAATAATCCTTAGACAAGAAGACTTATCACGTCTTCCAGATGTCAGTGTTTCACAGAATTTACTGTCAAGTGAATTGTCTGTTTATTTTTTGGCCAGAACTTGGCAGCCAATTGCGTCCAGTGTTGTCCCCATAAACAGTCGTGGATTAGTTGACCAAATTATTAATACTTTTTGAAGGCATTATAACCACAGGAAATGCTATCTGCCCATCAACTAACAACCGGGTTCCTACTTACTGTTAGCAGACAGAGCCGTGTAGAGTAAGGAAACCTGTCCAACTTTTCGCCCTGTAATAATCAAACTCAGGTCTGTCACTCGCGAAGCGAGTGCTCAACCACTGGGCTACAGTAAAGAAACATTCATAAATTATACATCTGTCTTGATCGTTCTCTCCATACCTCGCTCTATATTATTGGAAAACATTTGTAAATTAGCAGTGAACGCTGAAACAGAAAACGGAGTCCTTTACAAAACCAAAGAATTGAGTGGAGTCCTGTAGCTCAGCGGTTAGAGAACTTGCCTTGCAAGAGTGAAACCTGGGTTCAATTCCAGGCAGGGTGAAACCTTGGGAAAGTTTCCTTATTCCAAATGCCTAAAATCAATAAGAAATTGGTCATTTTCAATCCCCAATTGTTTGTGGGACACTACTGTGTGCAATGGCTGCAGAGTTTCGCCCACAATTATACAATATACAGTCAATTCACTTTACAGCATGTAACTCTCCCTAATGTAAATTTACTGTGAGACATCTAGAAGACACTATATCAAATACAAGCATTATTATCCGTATTAATATTATTATTAAAGAATGACAATGTGGAGTCCTGTAGCTCAGTGGTTAGAGCACTCGCTTTGCAAACGAGAGACCCGAGTTCAATTCCAGACAGGGCGAAACCTTGGGCAAGTTTCCTTACTCCACACGCCTAATAATAATCCCTCCAAAACCAAAAAAAACAATAATAAATTGGTCATTTTCAATCTACGACTATTTGTGGGACATTGCTGTGCGCAATTGGCTGCCGTGTTCGCCCACAAATATAGTCAATTCACTTTACAGTGTGTTCTGTGAAGCGCTTTGGGACGTCCTCCCAACGTGAAAAGCGCTATATCAAATGCAAGGATTATTATTATTATTATTATTATTAATGTTAACATTTTGAATTGCATTGAACTGTTGAGTTCAAATGTTGTATAGTTTGTAATGTTCGTTAAAGTTATAAGTTTATATTCTATTCATCACCATAAAGTATTTATCATTTTCTGTCCTAACAATGTTATTTTTTTATTCACCAGCTCTACAGATAAGACTGGGTAAGCAAAATTAAATCTCTTTGACATCTGTTACATCATCTCAGCTCCACATTGCCCGTCAACTATGTTTTACACAATCTTAGACAAACTATTGGTCACAGTCCATTATTCTGGTGCTGTTGTTCCTACATTTCTCTACAATTTGTACAGAAACTCTCCCTAATGTAATATTGGCATCTCAGCCATAATCGTATCGGCTGGCGTCCTGGAGGTGGACTAATCCTGGACACTTATCATTAGCCTGAGGATCATAGACAGTTTGCAGTCAATCTGGGGGCAAAGGTTTCCTCACTCAGTGGACAGTGAGTCCTGGGGAAGCTTCTGCTAGTGATCAGAGACCTGACCATTTCTCCTTTCTTCTTGTTTCCAGTGAAGAAAAGGCTTTTAACCGGTGCAAGTAAATGTCTGAATAACAGAACCACAATATTCACATCAATCTGTCGCAGCGCTTAAAGCAAACCCCTCTCTCTCTCTCTCTCTCTGCGCAGTCTCTCTGACTCTGGACTCTGAAACAGCCCAATCCTGGCTCACGCACACCATCACACACACACAACTCTCACATACACACAGAATCTCACACACATGCCCTCACAAACATATACTCAAACCCAGCTTCACACACACACACAAACACAGATACTCAAACACACGTTCACGCTCGCACCCTCACACATACCCTCTCACAACCCCTCACAAAGACGGTGACCCTTCTGAGCTGGATATCCACTCACTCTATTTTCTGTTGTTTCGCTCTCTCAGCTCCGGCCTCTCTGACTCTGGATCCTGACACTGCCCATCCCAACCTCATCCTGTCTGAGAACCTGACCAGCGTGAGATACGGAGACAGAAGGCAGCAGCTCTCTGACTCCCCAAAGAGGTTTGATACCGTTGTCAGTGTCCTGGGGTCTGACGGCTTCAAATCAGGGAGACATTACTGGGAAGTTCAGGTGGCCAATAAGACAAACTGGACAGTGGGTTTCGCCAGAGAATCTGCCAACAGGAAAGGAGAATTCACACTCTCACCAGAGAACGGATACTGGGCTGCGTGGTTGAGAAACGGTACTGAATATGAAGCTGGTGAATCACCTTCCATCCTTCTGTCCCTGACAGAGAGACCCGGGAGGCTGGGTCTTTACCTGAACTATGAGGGGGGACAGGTGATATTTTACAACGCTGATAACATGTCTCATCTCCACACTTTCATCCAGACTTTCACTGAGAAACTTTTTCCTTACTTCAGTCCATGTGATAATGACGGCGGCAAAAACTGTGATCCTCTGAGGATCTGCCAGGTTACAGATTAATGAGGAGGAAACCCTCAGCCATGACCTGTTTTGGCTGTGATGGCCACCAGGCTGGAACCTTTTATAATCTGTGTTATCATAAATAAAGCTTGTAGTTTATATTACACCTTTCACACTGGGTCCACGGCTCAAACGTTTCTCGGGATCGACTGCAAAGTGACTGTTGTGTTTGCGGGCAAATGTGGAGCCAATTTGCACAGAGAAACGTTGACATTAATTCATGTTTCACAGCATAAACATCAAGCTGGAGCTTTTTGCTCCTGATGTCTAAAATAATAATTCTTACGTTGCATACAGTTCATCTTCACGTCTGCCAGACGTCTCAAAGCCCGTCACAGGTTCATAAAGCTGCACGTATCTCAATAATGTCCATGGTGTTTTGCAATGACTTTGTGTTTAAATAATAACCCGCCCTCTGGGTACAACACGGGAAACGGATTTAATAGCCCCCAAATCCCTGGGGGTTAACTTGCAATAGTTTATTAAACTTCAATGTTTGCGGTAAAATGAATGATCTAAACACGGTTTTCAATTAACTTTGGCTTTTGATTTGAACCCTAACCCAATAGCAAACACGGGAAACGGGTTTAAAAGACCGCAGAACATCGGTGCAAAATATTCCCAATTCTGCACTAAACCCAAATATACGAAGCGCGTTTTCCATTAACTCTTCTCCCTCTATCTCACACTCACTCCCTCTTTCCCTCTATCTCACACTCACTCCCTCTCTCTCTCCCTCTCTCTTGACACTCTCTCTCTTCCTCTCAATCAGCCACTGGAGGCCCTGCTTCAAACAGGAGACAAACAGTGGTGGGGCAGGAGTCGGGGCTGGTGGGTGGGGGGCTGAACTGGACCAGGATTTCAGTCTGAAGACCGTATTTGGATTTTAAAGCGAGGGTGTCCCCCTCTTAAAGGGGAGAGGAGGTTTTTGGGGGTTCAAAACACCTTTTTATAATAATATCAATACCAATAATTATCCTTGTATTTCACCCAGTCCACTGTATATGGACAAGACATCGTTAAGAAGGTTAACGCTATGTATTATTTGTTATTAAGCAGAGGGATACAATGTGAGTGGCCCCACTCACCCAGTCAAAGCCATTGCTAGTTCCGATGTGGTGCTGGACTGTAAGTGTTCCTTATCGCTGCTGCCAGAGGATGTAGTGACTTTGTGTTGAAATAATAACCCGCACACTGGGTGCAACACAGGAAAGGGGTTTAAAAGCCCCCAGATCTCCGGGGTTTAAAGTACAATAGTTTGTTAAACCCCAATAATTGCATTAAAATAACTGATATAAATACGGTTTGGCATGAACTTTGGGTTTTGATTTTAACCACAAATCCGTGGACAAACACGGAAAATGGGTTTAAAAGTTCCCAGATTCCCGCGTAAAGTGCAAAATATTCTTAATTCTGCATTAATCCCAAATATAAAAACCTCTGTTTGAGTTAACTCTCTCCCTCTCTCTCAAACTCACTACTTCTTTCATTCTCCCCCTCTCTCTCTTTCCCCCTCTCCCACACTCACTCCCTCTCTCTCACTACCTCTCACATTCACTCCCTCTTTCTGTCTCCCTCTCTCTCGCCTGCTCACTCACACTCACTCCCTCTCTTATAGACCCTCATGCAGTGATCATAGCATAGCGCAGGATATTACTCAAGAAATTAGAGGAGGATATATCAAAGATAATACATTAATAGTGGGTGATTGCAATCTTCACATAGATTGGGAAAACCAAATCGGCAAAAGTCGGGTAGAGGACGAGTTTATAGAGTGTATCAGAGATAACTTCCTGGAGCAGTATGCGGAGGAACCAACTAGAGGATAGGCAATCCTAGAGCTGGTTTTGTGTAACGAAACAGGTCTAGTTAATAATATAGATACGAAGGTCCTCTAGGGCAGAGTGACCATAATATATAGTATTTAGTATTAAAGAGCGATGTGGTCAAAACCAAAGCAAGGGTCTTACATTTAAATAAAGCTAACTTTGTAGATATGAGGGAAGAATTAGCTCAAATAGACTGGGGAATTGATTAATGGATATAACAATATAAGTACAATGTCAAACATTTAAAGATGTAGTGCAAATTTCTCAGCGGTCACATATTGCCTTGAGGAATATGATTACCCCAGGGAAAGCAGTTCATCCGTGGCTTACTGGAGTAGTCAGAGAAAGTATAAAATAAAAAAAGAAACCGCGGATAAAACTGCCAACAATAGTAACAAACCTGAGGAATGGGACTGTTTTGGTGAACAACAAAGGAAAATCAAAAAGCTCACTAAGAGTGAGAAAATGGATTATGAGGGCAAGCTAGTGAGAAACAATAAGACAGATTGTAAGAGTTTTTATAAATATACAAAGAGGAATAGGCTAGCAAAACCAAATGTGGGTCCATTACAAACAGAGACAGGAGGAATTATAATGGGGGAGAAGAATATGGCAGATTCCCTAAATAAATATTTTGCTTCTGTCTTAGAAGGCACAAGCAGTTTACCAGAAATAGAGATGAAATAAGGGGCTAATGATAGGGAGCAACTTAGAGAAATTTACATTAGCAAATAATTGGTGCGAGGGAAATTGTTGGCATTAAAAAGTGACAAGACCTCTGGAGTTGATGGTTTCCATCCTAGGGTTTTAAAAGATATGGGTTATGAGATAGTTGAGGCCTTCTGTCTGATCTTCCAAAATTGTTTGGATTCTGGAATGGTTCCCATTGATTGGAAGATCGCAAACATCACACCACTATTTAAGAAGAGTGGGAGAAAGAAGATGGGGAACTATAGACCAGTTAATCTAACATCGGTGGTAGGGAAAATTCTAGAATCCTTAATTAGGGCCATAGTAGTGGGATACTTAGAGAACAGTACTATAATTTTAGGAGAGTCAACATGGCTTTACAAAAGTGAAGTCATGCTTAACAAATCTTCTAGAGTTTTTTGTGGATGTAACTAGCAGGTTAGATAGGAGCGAACCTGATAAGGCTGTAGATGCTCAGTCCTTGAACATGCTCAAGACTGAGATTGATAGGTTTCTAAAGGATAGAGGGATTAAGGTTAAGGGGATAAGGCGGGCAGATGCCGTTGGTTAGAAGATCAACCATGATCGAATTGAATGGCGAGGCAGTCTTGAGGGGCCGAATGGCCTACTCCTGCTCCTGTATGTTCCCATGTTCTTGTTTGCAATTTTTCAATCTAAGGGCACAATTCTGGAATATAGTGAGCTTGGGAATATTATGAATTCATGTTCAATTTCGCATATTGGGGTGGGCACTCTTAGTTCCTGGAGCTTTGTCAGTATTGATTCTCATTACTTTTCCATATTGCTTGATTTATATTGGTACGCTGGTATGTCGTCCTCATACTCTAGTGTAAAAAAGTATGCAAAGTATTTATTTAACAAGGCAGCCTTTACTTATTTTCGAGTATATTCTCACCAATATCTGTCCATAATGAACTCACGTTCGCCTTGACAATTCTGTTTCTTTAGTATATTTATAAAGGCTTTCACTGTCGGTTTTATTAACCCTTTGAAGGTCTGAAAACTACCCCAAGCAGAGACTTACTTCCTTTGCTATTCCTTAGGTCTATATGTGGAGTCCTGTAGCTCAGTGGTTAGAGCACTCGCTTTGCAAGCGAGAGACCTGAGTTCAATTCCAGGCAGAGGGCGAAACCTTGGGGTAGTTTCCTTACTCCACACAGAGCCTAATAATAATCCCTCCAAAAACCAAAAACAATAATTAAATCGGTCATTTTCAATCTACGACTGTTTGTGGGACATTGCTGTGCGCAATTGGCTGCCGCGTTCGCCCACAAATATACAGTCAATTCACTTTACACTGTGTTCTGTGAAGCGCTTTGGGACATCCTCCCGACGTGAAAAGCGCTATATCAAATGCAAGGATTATTATTATTATTATATACAGTATTTTTGCTAATATTGCTACACATTCTCCTTTCCCATCTTTTCTAACGATTTTAGTCTGGAATACTTAGCTCCCATTCCTGACCAGCATGCAACCAGGTCTCTGTAATGGCTGCCACATCATACCCTTTAAGCTGAATTTGTTCTTCTAACTCATGGCTTTTGCTTGTCAAGCTGCACGCATTTGTGCACATACCTCTTGTATTATGACTGTTTGTGGGTTACTATTGAAAAACTTCGGGAGACACTGAGTCTGTCTGAAATTTCATTTGAATAGAGAGGTGGTCATGTGGACCTAGGCTGAGCGATTGCAGTGTTGAGTTCCAGAGATAGAGTAGAGTGGTGGAAGCTTTTCCACTGATCAGGAATGGGACATTTAGTAAACGTGTGTGAGTGTGTACAGAGCAGTTGGTGGGTTAGATTTCAAGAAGGTTGAAAAGATAAAGTGGGTGAGCCATGGAGAGATGAAAAGAAGAGGAAAAGAGACTGAATTTGATCTGTATAGAAAGCATACAAGGCAGTGCATTTGAAGGCCAGCTACGCCGGTTAAACTCCGGTTAAACTCTAGCTGGTTAAACTCCAGCAATAATTCCCAACTCACAACCTCACACTCATTGAGTTCCAGACGATTTTACACCTGTCAATTTGTGCCTAATGCTTTCAGGGATGAGTTTAAAGTGAAGTCCTGTATTTCAGTGGTTAGAGTACTCGCTTTGCAAGCAAGAGACCCGAGTTCGATTCCGGGCAGGGCGAAACCTTGAGCAAGTTTCCTTACTCCGTACTCCTGATAATACTCTTTCAAGAAAAAAAATCAATTGTGACATCAATCCACGGTTGTTTGTAGGACACTGCTGTGCAATTGGCTGCCACTTTTCGCCCACAAATACACAATCAATTCACTTTACAATCTATTCTGTGAAGCGCTTTGAGACATCTAGAATAAGTGAAAAGCGCCATATAAAATGCATGGACTATTATTATTAATATTAAAGCAAAGATCCTTCTAGGGAGACTGTGCACATTCAATTCTCAAGACAGAGCATTCGATGTGTCGATGTCATACCTCAAACGTTCAGT